TTGCAAACTGGCCGTTTCGAGGGCTTTCGAATGGTGTAACTACAATTCCGGTCCGATACTTCTGGGTCGGTTAGAGGGGGGTGTTTTTAGTTTAGTGATCGGCGTCTAAACGGCTGTTCTATGGTCTTGGCCGCTTCCACAAAATAACCTGCCTCCAGCCTTGATCTCTCCACTGGCCTGGCGCACATAATCCGATGGCGGCGGGACCGTATAGCAATCCACTTGCTCGAAGGCGTCCAATACTCCATTGAGAAGATCACGCAATTGTGGAACTCGCTCCGTTTGCAACTATACTCATTTTTAGCGTCCAGTGATGGCTCAAACGAACCTTCAACAGTTTTAGGTACTCTGGGTTCAAGCCAGCCTCATTCGAATCGCGCATCATGATCAGGAAGTGCTAAAATGCAGGAATAAAGTTGTATTGTTTCGTGCCTGGCCGATCCGCTCGTCGCTCTTCTTGCCGAACGAGATGAAGCCGTTCAGGGCATCGAGGTCTTGCGCGTCAAGCTGGTTCTTGGTGTTGTAGACCTGGAAGGATATCGTTGGGTTGGTTGGTGCAAGTACAGCTCACGTTCAGCGACGACATCAGCAGAGAGATGGCAAAGATGACGGTAGAGTCGGCAATGTTGCTGCAGTTGTCAAAGGTGCCTTGGGTGTCGAGGAGCATCACTGCCAGCTAAACGAGATCAGGATGTCGTTTTGGAAATCTGTTACCTCGGTGCCGTCACGCTGACGTCGGATGAAAATTTTCGGCCACACCATAATGCCTTGAGTGTGGCGCTGGTAGCCGCCGCGGAATCGGATCCCGTCACGACCGCTAAAAAGCGTTATGCATAACACGCGCCAGGCTTACCCGATATATTCAGAATCGTCGAATCGGGCGCTGCCACGCTGCAGGGCCCGCAGGAGGACGTTGTTCCAGAACGTCTTGCCCTGGCGGAATTTGCCGGCCGTCGAGATGATGGCCACCTGCGAAATGGAATTCGGATGCAAAACGGGATTCGCAATTGCACGAATTCCCAATCAACTGTGCAAAAATTATCTCGCCCTACCTGCCGGTCCCCAATCTGTTGGCACAGGTCGTCGAGGAGTGGCTGGTTGAACTGTGTCGTGCCCTGGTCGCCGATGTTGAACAGCTGCTGCAGGTCCATTTCCCCCTTGAAAGTGTTCGTTAGATCGGCCAAAATGTCGGACAAACTTCTTCCGGAAGATCCGGGTTGTAGCCAGGGCCCGTACCCGGCCGAGCCGGCGGCTTCGGCAGAGCATCGCGCGGCTGGGACGGCGTCGCATTACCGAACCCTAGCGCCGACGCCGCGTATTGAGCGGTGGGCGCCGGAGCTGCGGCGGTGTGGCCCGAGCCTTGCGCAGGATATCCGGCGACGTCTGCACGGTTTCGTCCGCCTGCCAGGCTCACCGGATCAACGGGAGGCGCCCCAGCCTGAAAGCGCTTAATGAATGATCAGATCATAATTAAAACTCTCACTATAATGAATTGAAAAAGAATTTAAAGCGCTACCGTCGATTGAGCGAGCAGTTCGTTGGCGCGTTGGGTGGCCCGGGTTGCGTCCGGCAAGCGCGAGCAGTCATCGAGGAGAGTCTGAAGAAAGCCTAGTTTGTAAATTTCGACCGATAAAACGCCAAAAATATACCAGGAAAACTGATTTTCGGTTTTTCTAAAACTTAAACATGCCCTTCGATAGAGCGTCGCAAAAGATTGAAAAAACTTTTTATGGTCGCATAGACTTATTTAAACCTATATCCTACATATATAAAAAATAGTGTTTGTGTGTGTGTGTGTGTGGTATGACACTTTGCATGCAACTCAGGTTGTTCCAGTCGTATCTCAAGAAGGAGAGTAGTTACGGTCATGTTTGATACGTCATTAGGTGCATAATGTCCAGGAGATGACTGCACACACATCAGTTTTCTCAAAATCGTCTATTTTCGACATTAAATTTTAGTTTTTGCTGAAAAATCCGACACTCTCTTTGTTAGGAATCAATTAGCATATACCGGAAATGGGGCGAGCCTATATAAAGTAGCAGAGAGCGCATTTTTCACTTTTTTTCCAGCGTGGGTCGTGCCGAATTATGCAAAGTGTAAACTTTCATTGGGTCAGACGGGGCCAGGGTTGAAAAGTCGCGAAGCGGCTTTTCAACCCTGGTTTAGTTTTAAGAAACTATTATTTGATTCCCCTCGATTCTATGTGTACTAAGTTTTGCTAGAGCTAAAAAACGTCATCAAAAACGAAAAAATCTGACCTTCCGCGCCGTCGCCTCGCACATAGCCTTCATCTCCGCGGTAGAATCCGGGTGGTTGGCCACCCACTAGATCACACTTAATTGATCCGACCCAGTAATGTCGTACCTCTAGTTTCCGGGTGTAGATCTCGAAGTGCTGGTCGACCTTACGATCCTAAATTCGCGCACTTTGTCAAGCCAATCGATTTCTACCGTATATTCGGCATCGGTGCACTCCGAGCCGGAGTGGGCGCTCATCGCTGAATTTGGTCTATACTACTTTTTACGGATAATATATTTAATAAAGTGTAAAAAAGAAGAAAGATAGATTAGATGAATTTAATGCCGAACAGATGGAATTGCGGTTCAATAGCTTATCGCCGCGCCGACCGGCAAATTTCTCCTGCAACAAAATGGTGCCGAGTCGTTGGCTTTAGAGATCGATCGATTTGGCTTTCGCAAGAGCGTTTTGCAGAACTAACAACGTGAATAAGTTTTGCATCAATCGATTGCTATTAAGAAAAGTTCGGCACTGGATTCTTAGCGGGGGGCTTTAGCAGGGCAGGGGAGCGATTTTTGTTTTTGCTCCTATAAAATTGATAACATATTTTCACATCGCTTTTAGTAGTTTTTAAAAGTTAGAAAGTGCCAAAAAGATTTTAATCATTTTGGAAAATTCGAAAATTATGTCCTTTTCGATTTTCGAATTTCGAAAAGTCACGATTTCGAAAACCACCATTTCGAAAAGACACGATTTCGAAAAACACCATTTCGAAAAATCACGATTTCGAAAAACACCATTTCGAAAGTCACCATTTCGAAAGTCACCATTTCAAAAAACACCATTTCGAAAAGACACGATTTCGAAGAACACCATTTCGAAAAACAACATTTCGAAAAAATCCCAAGTTCGAAAAGGACCGGGTCTTCAAACAGGCATAAAAATTGCAGCGTCGAAAAACCACGGTTTTTCTCGGATATGACTAGTGATGTAATAGAAATTGTTTTAGTGGTGTCTATAATGAAATTAATCATATCTCCAGTGGAAAAATAGACCCCCCGAACTTCAAACCAGCCAATCAAAATCATTTTTTTGCTGCGATTGGGAAATGGGCTATTGCCAAATCCTGTGTTTCCCAAATGGTAATTTTCGAAATGGCGATTTTCGAAATATTGTTGTTCGAAATCGTGACCGCCAACCGTTTTTAAGCCTAAGACCCGATTAAAATCAAAAATTATATATATAACAAAAAGTTCAAAAAGAACCAGATAACCTGCCTCAAAAGCGTTATCCCTTGCAAGGCAGGGTCTTCGATGCCCTATCTGCCATCCACGTGAGCTTCTCGGGGGACATTTTCTTCGGCAAGAAATTGGTATCCCTTGTGCAAGGCCAATGCCCTTGCTACCCAATCAATCTCTCAATTTGAAAAATTTAATTCACTAATAATAATTGGAGTCATTGCAGAGTGTACGCATAAATTGTGGGATTTAAGCACTACTGGACATCAATTAAATGGGAAAACTAAATATACACAAAAAGTCTCTCAGCTTATTAAAGGGAGTTAGGTTATTAAATATCGACCAGGGTTGAAAAGCCGCTTCGCGACTTTTCAACCCTGGCCCCGTCTTGGACCCCATACTATTCTGCCCTTTGCATAATTGTCCTCGATTCAGAAGGCAAAAAAAAAGGAAAAACAACCCGTTCTGCCTCTTTATATAGACGACGGCCCACTTCCGGTCTATGCTAATTATTCCTAACAAAGAGGTTTTTACAAAAACCTAAATTTAATAGCGAAAATGGCTAATTTTTAAAAAGCTGATTTGTGTGCAGTCATCCCTAGACCATTACGCACCTAATGACGTATCATAGGTAGCCTAATACCGTCCCTTCTTGAGATATCCTCCGGACAGACAGACGGAAGTGGATGCAAAGTGGCACACACACACAAACACACACACAGACACTATTTTTTTATATATAGTAGGATATTTCTGTACCTATCTGGCTGCGTTAAAGTAATGAAACAGTAAGAAAAACAAAAGTTTCTAGCTGGGGTCTTGAGCTGGCTCAGGTGAGCGGCCTCCTAACTACCAAAAGAAGGCAGCTGCTGAATTGCTGTCGCAATAAATATGCAACCGCTTGCGCAAGCAATTCATCGATTTTGCGAAATTAACCAAGGCGAGAGAGTGAGAGAGAAAGTTAGAGAGAAAGAGAAGCAGTGAGTCAGAGAGTGAAAGAGCGAGAGAGTGGGAGAGAGAGCGAATTAGAGAGAGAAGCAGAGAGAGAGAGCCAGAGCGAGAGAGTGAGAGAGAGAGAGAGAGAGCGAGAGAGTGAAAGTGAGAGACAGGGAGTGAGAGATAGAGAGAGGAAGTTAGAGAGAGAGAGAGAGAGAGAGAGAGAGAGAGAGAGAGAGAGAGGGAGGGGAGAGGGGGAGAGCGATCGATAACTACTGTAGCAAATAATATTATATACTGTAATCTGGCGTGTGCTTTTTTGCGGCCCTTTTTTGCATATCCACTACTTGTTTTACCGGTTCGTTTCGTTTCCAACATTTTTCCGCAGCATTCTTTACTCGTCCCTTCCCAACCAACGGCCCCCACCCTTGGAAGGCCCGCGATTAAAATTAAATCACCGATTAAAATGCGGGAAATGGGCCCTCGCAAGATGCGCTGCAGGAGTTGATAAGAAGCCGTGAAAATTCCTCCCCTCTGGCTGCTGTGATTTTTTTGGCGATTTTTGGCCGATTTGGAACGAAAACGATGTTTCGCTGGTTGGCGGTCATCGGAATTGTCACGATCGGTTAGATCCTTCAATCGCAATGAGAAATATCGCAAAGTTTTATACGTTTTTTACATTGTCCAACAGCCAAAAATACTAAAAATCCTACGACAAAAGTATATAGCAATTTAAGAAGATGCGAAATATTGTAAACTTTCATTTTTTTCGTTTCATGAATTTTTATCACTTTCCAGCAACCAAAAGCTTGCAAAATTACTAAAATACAAGAGCCAGGCTTCGTTTTATACGTTGGACTGAGGTAAAAATTAAATGCTTAGCCCTAGCTAAATTCATTACTACTAAGAGAGAATTTTCAGTTAGCGCCCAAAACGTGCAAAAACCCTGTCCGGATGGCTGGGTCCAGTATGGGCAGCTGTGCTATATGTATTCCGGGAGTGTACAAAGGGTACGTTAATGTATAATTAATATAATATAATTAATCTATAAATTTTACGCTTTTGTATACCTTATAAGTTCTTAACCCGACCTTTAACATACACTTTTAGAGCTGGCTGAACGCGATCAACTACTGCGCAACGGTCGGCGGTCAGCTTGCGGGCGCTTACAATCGAAGCACGCTGAACTTTCAAATTGGTGAGTCTTGCGTTCCCAAAGCCTCTCTGCTAGCCTGCCCCGCTGCTGCAGCTCTAGAGGCTAAAATGCTTTTTTTGTTAACTTGTTGTAAGACCCTGGAAAGCACGAACACGCCTGCTGGGCAGCGTAGCTTGTATTTTCCCAAAAAAATCTCTGTTAGCCTGTCCACTAGCGACCTATTCGGATCTCCAATGGCCTCTGCTAGTTTCTAAGCGACCCGGGATGGCCTATTCCAGTGAAAGCACCCTTTCCCTCACTGTACGGCCACTCGCCCCCAACCTGGCCCACTATCCCCACATAAGCTCCGGCCGGCTCTTTCTGTTCAGTTCTACGGAACCCCCACAAGTTTGAGGTCAGAAATCAAACCGAGTTTTCCGTAGGAAACTCTTAAATTTTGGAACGCAGCTCTTTTTAGCTGCACAAAAATAATTCTTTTATCTATTGCGATTTTGTACTAGAGATGTTGCGCATAGGGACACGTCGTCGGGATAACATGCAAATTACGATAAAAGGCGCAAAAAAACCCTTTTGTTGAGCTTATTTTTGTACTTGTCTAATCGTCTCTGCTAGCCGCCAGCAGTCTGGTAAGGCCAATGCCAATGAAACGGCCCTTTCCGTTTTTGACCGACCACTCGCTCCCCATCTGGCCCACTGTCCCCACATAACCTCGGGCCGACTCTTTCCTTTCAGTTCTACGGAACCCCCACAAGTTTGAGGTTAGAAATCAAACCGAGTTTTCCGTAGGAAACTCTTAAATTTTGGAACGCAGCTCTTTTTAGCTGCACAAAAATAATTCTTTTATCTATTGCGATTTTGTACTAGAGATGTTGCGCATAGGGACACGTCGTCGGGATAACATGCAAATTAGGATAAAAGGCGCAAAAAACCCTTTTGTTGAGCTTATTTTGTACTTGTCTAATCGTCTCTGCTAGCCGCCAGCAGTCTGGTAAGGCCAATGCCAATGAAACGGCCCTTTCCGTTTTTGACCGACCACTCGCTCCCCATCTGGCCCACTGTCCCCACATAACCTCGGGCCGACTCTTTCCTTTCAGTTCTACGGAACCCCCACAAGTTTGAGGTTAGAAATCAAACCGAGTCTTCCGACGGAAACTCGTAAATTTTGGAACGCAGCTCTATGGAGCTGCACAAAAATAATTTTTTTATCGATTGCGATTTTGTACTAGAGATGTTACGCATCCCGACGCGACGTCGGGATAACATGCAAATTAGGATAAAAGGCGCAAAAAACCCTTTTGTTGAGCTTATTTTTGTACTTGTCTAATCGTCTCTGCTAGCCGCCAGCAGTCTGGTAAGGCCAATGCCAATGAAACGGCCCTTTCCGTTTTTGACCGACCACTCGCTCCCCATCTGGCCCACTGTCCCCACATAACCTCGGGCCGACTCTTTCCTTTCAGTTCTACGGAACCCCCACAAGTTTGAGGTTAGAAATCAAACCGAGTTTTCCGTAGGAAACTCTTAAATTTTGGAACGCAGCTCTTTTTTAGCTGCACAAAATAATTCTTTTATCTATTGCGATTTTGTACTAGAGATGTTGCGCATAGGGACACGACGTCGGGATAACATGCAAATTACGATAAAAGGCGCAAAAAACCCTTTTGTTGAGCTTATTTTGTACTTGTCTAATCGTCTCTGCTAGCCGCCAGCAGTCTGGTAAGGCCAATGCCAATGAAACGGCCCTTTCCGTTTTTGACCGACCACTCGCTCCCCATCTGGCCCACTGTCCCCACATAACCTCGGGCCGACTCTTTCCTTTCAGTTCTACGGAACCCCCACAAGTTTGAGGTTAGAAATCAAACCGAGTTTTCCGTAGGAAACTCTTAAATTTTGGAACGCAGCTCTTTTTAGCTGCACAAAAATAATTCTTTTATCTATTGCGATTTTGTACTAGAGATGTTGCGCATAGGGACACGACGTCGGGATAACATGCAAATTACGATAAAAGGCGCAAAAACCCTTTTGTTGAGCTTATTTTGTACTTGTCTAATCGTCTCTGCTAGCCGCCAGCAGTCTGGTAAGGCCAATGCCAATGAAACGGCCCTTTCCGTTTTTGACCGACCACTCGCTCCCCCATCTGGCCCACTGTCCCCACATAACCTCGGGCCGACTCTTTCCTTTCAGTTCTACGGAACCCCCCACAAGTTTGAGGTTAGAAATCAAACCGAGTTTTCCGTAGGAAACTCTTAAATTTTGGAACGCAGCTCTTTTTTAGCTGCACAAAAATAATTCTTTTTATCTATTGCGATTTTGTACTAGAGATGTTGCGCATAGGGACACGTCGTCGGGATAACATGCAAATTAGGATAAAAGGCGCAAAAAACCCTTTTGTTGAGCTTATTTTGTACTTGTCTAATCGTCTCTGCTAGCCGCCAGCAGTCTGGTAAGGCCAATGCCAATGAAACGGCCCTTTCCGTTTTTGACCGACCACTCGCTCCCCATCTGGCCCACTGTCCCCACATAACCTCGGGCCGACTCTTTCCTTTCAGTTCTACGGAACCCCCACAAGTTTGAGGTTAGAAATCAAACCGAGTCTTCCGACGGAAACTCGTAAATTTTGGAACGCAGCTCTATGGAGCTGCACAAAAATAATTTTTTTATCGATTGCGATTTTGTACTAGAGATGTTACGCATCCCGACGCGACGTCGGGATAACATGCAAATTAGGATAAAAGGCGCAAAAAACCCTTTTGTTGAGCTTATTTTGTACTTGTCTAATCGTCTCTGCTAGCCGCCAGCAGTCTGGTAAGGCCAATGCCAATGAAACGGCCCTTTCCGTTTTTGACCGACCAATCGCTCCCCATCTGGCCCACTGTCCCCACATAACCTCGGGCCGACTCTTTCCTTCAGTTCTACGGAACCCCCACAAGTTTGAGGTTAGAAATCAAACCGAGTTTTCCGTAGGAAACTCTTAAATTTTGGAACGCAGCTCTTTTTAGCTGCACAAAAATAATTCTTTTATCTATTGCGATTTTGTACTAGAGATGTTGCGCATAGGGACACGACGTCGGGATAACATGCAAATTAGGATAAAAGGCGCAAAAACCCTTTTGTTGAGCTTATTTTGTACTTGTCTAATCGTCTCTGCTAGCCGCCAGCAGTCTGGTAAGGCCAATGCCAATGAAACGGCCCTTTCCGTTTTTGACCGACCACTCGCTCCCCATCTGGCCCACTGTCCCCACATAACCTCGGGCCGACTCTTTCCTTTCAGTTCTACGGAACCCCCACAAGTTTGAGGTTAGAAATCAAACCGAGTTTTCCGTAGGAAACTCTTAAATTTTGGAACGCAGCTCTTTTAGCTGCACAAAAATAATTCTTTTATCTATTGCGATTTTGTACTAGAGATGTTGCGCATAGGGACACGACGTCGGGATAACATGCAAATTACGATAAAAGGCGCAAAAAACCCTTTTGTTGAGCTTATTTTTGTACTTGTCTAATCGTCTCTGCTAGCCGCCAGCAGTCTGGTAAGGCCAATGCCAATGAAACGGCCCTTTCCGTTTTTGACCGACCACTCGCTCCCCATCTGGCCCACTGTCCCCACATAACCTCGGGCCGACTCTTTCCTTTCAGTTCTACGGAACCCCCACAAGTTTGAGGTTAGAAATCAAACCGAGTTTTCCGTAGGAAACTCTTAAATTTTGGAACGCAGCTCTTTTAGCTGCACAAAATAATTCTTTTATCTATTGCGATTTTGTACTAGAGATGTTGCGCATAGGGACACGACGTCGGGATAACATGCAAATTACGATAAAAGGCGCAAAAAACCCTTTTGTTGAGCTTATTTTGTACTTGTCTAATCGTCTCTGCTAGCCGCCAGCAGTCTGGTAAGGCCAATGCCAATGAAACGGCCCTTTCCGTTTTTGACCGACCACTCGCTCCCCATCTGGCCCACTGTCCCCACATAACCTCGGGCCGACTCTTTCCTTTCAGTTCTACGGAACCCCCACAAGTTTGAGGTTAGAAATCAAACCGAGTTTTCCGTAGGAAACTCTTAAATTTTGGAACGCAGCTCTTTTTAGCTGCACAAAAATAATTCTTTTATCTATTGCGATTTTGTACTAGAGATGTTGCGCATAGGGACACGACGTCGGGATAACATGCAAATTAGGATAAAAGGCGCAAAAAACCCTTTTGTTGAGCTTATTTTGTACTTGTCTAATCGTCTCTGCTAGCCGCCAGCAGTCTGGTAAGGCCAATGCCAATGAAACGGCCCTTTCCGTTTTTGACCGACCACTCGCTCCCCATCTGGCCCACTGTCCCCACATAACCTCGGGCCGACTCTTTCCTTTCAGTTCTACGGAACCCCCACAAGTTTGAGGTTAGAAATCAAACCGAGTTTTCCGTAGGAAACTCTTAAATTTTGGAACGCAGCTCTTTTTAGCTGCACAAAAATAATTCTTTTATCTATTGCGATTTTGTACTAGAGATGTTGCGCATAGGGACACGACGTCGGGATAACATGCAAATTACGATAAAAGGCGCAAAAAACCCTTTTGTTGAGCTTATTTTGTACTTGTCTAATCGTCTCTGCTAGCCGCCAGCAGTCTGGTAAGGCCAATGCCAATGAAACGGCCCTTTCCGTTTTTGACCGACCACTCGCTCCCCATCTGGCCCACTGTCCCCACATAACCTCGGGCCGACTCTTTCCTTTCAGTTCTACGGAACCCCCACAAGTTTGAGGTTAGAAATCAAACCGAGTCTTCCGACGGAAACTCGTAAATTTTGGAACGCAGCTCTATGGAGCTGCACAAAAATAATTTTTTTATCGATTGCGATTTTGTACTAGAGATGTTACGCATCCCGACGCGACGTCGGGATAACATGCAAATTAGGATAAAAGGCGCAAAAAACCCTTTTGTTGAACTTATTTTGTACTTGTCTAATCGTCTCTGCTAGCCGCCAGCAGTCTGGTAAGGCCAATGCCAATGAAACGGCCCTTTCCGTTTTTGACCGACCACTCGCTCCCCATCTGGCCCACTGTCCCCCCATAACCTCGGGCCGACTCTTTCCTTTCAGTTCTACGGAACCCCCACAAGTTTGAGGTTAGAAATCAAACCGAGTCTTCCGACGGAAACTCGTAAATTTTGGAACGCAGCTCTTTGGAGCTGCACAAAAATAATTTTTTTATCGATTGCGATTTTGTACTAGAGATGTTACGCATCCCGACGCGACGTCGGGATAACATGCAAATTAGGATACAAAGCGCAAAAACCCTTTGGTTGAGCCTATTTTGTACTTTACATCATATTGCATGTTATCCCGACGTCGTGTCGGGATGCGTAACATCTCTATTTTGTACTCATATTTGTTATTATTAGTAATAATTTATTACTTACTCATTATAAATCTCTGCGTTATTCATATTTACTCCACTTCTAGTTATAAACTACTCGAAAAACGAACGTTTAGCTTATTCTTCGCGCATTACTCATGAGCAGGGGCGTACGAGGGGGGCAACGGGGCAAGTTGCCCCCAAATCGGCCGAAGGCCAAAAAGTTCATAAGGGGGGACCCTTATGATTTTTTCAAGAAAAATTTTCTGCCTGCGGCGCTGTTCATTACTGTTTTTAAGACGGTTTTTATTTCTATGAAGCCTATTTTTCCAAAAATTTTTTTGCCTGCGGCGCTATTTTGCATTAGTGCGTCAATTGTCCATATCAAATTTTCGCCTGCGACGCCTTTTCTGTGATGTGATTTGAGCGTTTCTAACGCTTTTTCCTAATTTTTTGCGGCCTGCGGCGCTGTTATCGCTGCGATTTTTGGATGTTTTGAAAGTGATGACGGGGAGGTCGACAAAAATTTTTCGAGTTGCCCCCAATATTTCTGAGGATGCGCTTTGCCACAAATCGCTACATTTAAATTTATTCTTTTTATGCGCATCAATTTATTAAAGCGCACCTCTTTATCTCCCAATCTGGCCTCGATCTGCTGCAGCATTGTCTGTTTTTCTGTTTTTTAAAACCCTGCGTAGCGTTCTGAATCACACAAAAAACTCTTACTTGACAGCAAGTAGTAAGTTTCAAGTAGAAACCAGCAAGTGCTTTCCTAAAAAGTCTCTGCTAACCTGCCCAAATAGCATGACAGAATTGGATGCTAGACGCCAGCAGTCTGGTAAGGCCAATTCCAATGAAACGGCCCTTTCCGTTTTTGTCCGAACACTCGCCCCCCATCTGGCCCACTATCCCCACATAAGGTCGGGCCGGCTCTTTCTCTTCAGTTCTACGGAACCCCACAAGTTTGAGGTTAGAAATCAAACCGAGTCTACGGAAACTCGTAAATTTTGGAACGCAGCTCTATACGGGCTGCAATAACAGAACCTAACGCCTGGATTTTTAGATTTATCTATTGGTCTTTTGCTTATGCTAAAAATTGACTTGAAAAACGACCGTTTAGCTTATTCTTCGTTCATTAGCGATGAATTGCTCGCACTCGCAAGGATTGCCTTCAAAAAACGACGGTTTTTAATGAAACACGCCATTTCTAAACTTCCCCCTTGCTACATATCGGTTTGCCGTGTCCGTTCCATTTAAATCGACGATTTTATGAGCATTGATATTTTAATTTCGACGGCGAACCACGGCAGTCAGCGGGAAGGAGAAGAAGCAACTCTTGGCAAAAACAAAAATTTACAAAGCTATTTCTAATAGTCAAATTTTAATTTCAGGGCTATCCCCGAATCCACTCTACGCCACCTGGGGTGGCCTTTATCTCGATGGATCGACGTGGAAATTTGTGGACTACACCTATTCTTTTAATCTCTACGAAATGTGGGCTCCAGGTATCCCTTTTTTTTGACGTAATTCTATGGCATTGATTCAATCAAATAGATCTTTTTAGGGGAGCCGCTGGCTAACCAAGGCGGATGCGGCGCCATCCGCTCCGGGGCCCAGAGCGGCTATTTCAACGTACCCTGCCAGAATTCCCAGCCTTTCATCTGCTCACAGAAAATTGCTACGTTAGTTTGACTTCAAGCACGGTTCCAGTCAAGGAAAATTAGCCGAGATCCTTGGGGAAGATCTTGGTCAAATGGATCATCATCAAAGTTCGACAACCCATGCTGGCGCATTGATCTATCCATGCATCAGCTACACCAGGATTATTTAGAAACATATTTTTTAGGCTTTTCTCGAATCTATGGGGGCGGCTTCTCCTTTTCCTCCTCCAATCTCTGCTAGCCTGCCCTCCTCTCGGGTCCGTCCATTTCCTCCTCCAATCTCTGCTAGCCTGCCCTCCTCTCGGGGTCCGTCCATTTCTCAAACAATCTCTGCTAGCCTGCCCTCCTCTCGGGGTCCGTCCATTTCCCTCAAACAATCTCTGCTAGCCTGCCCTCCTCTCGGGGTCCGTCCATTTCCTCCACCAATCTCTGCTAGCCTGCCCTCCTCTCGGGGTCCGTCCATTTCCTCAAACAATCTCTGCTAGCCTGCCCTCCTCTCGGGGTCCGTCCATTTCCTCAACCAATCTCTGCTAGCCTGCCCTCCTCTCGGGGTCCGTCCATTTCCTCCACCAATCTCTGCTAGCCTGCCCTCCTCTCGGGGTCCGTCCATTTCCTCCTCCAATCTCTGCTAGCCTGCCCTCCTCTCGGGGTCCGTCCATTTCCTCCAACAATCTCTGCTAGCCTGCCCTCCTCTCGGGGTCCGTCCATTTCCCTCCTCCAATCTCTGCTAGCCTGCCCTCCTCTCGGGGTCCGTCCATTTCCTCAAACAATCTCTGCTAGCCTGCCCTCCTCTCGGGGTCCGTCCATTTCCTCCACCAATCTCTGCTAGCCTGCCCTCCTCTCGGGGTCCGTCCATTTCCTCCTCCAATCTCTGCTAGCCTGCCCTCCTCTCGGGGTCCGTCCATTTCCTCAAACAATCTCTGCTAGCCTGCCCTCCTCTCGGGGTCCGTCCATTTCCTCCTCCAATCTCTGCTAGCCTGCCCTCCTCTCGGGGTCCGTCCATTTCCTCAAACAATCTCTGCTAGCCTGCCCTCCTCTCGGGGTCCGTCCATTTCCTCAAACAATCTCTGCTAGCCTGCCCTCCTCTCGGGGTCCGTCCATTTCCCTCCACCAATCTCTGCTAGCCTGCCCTCCTCTCGGGGTCCGTCCATTTCCTCAAACAACTCTGCTAGCCTGCCCTCCTCTCGGGGTCCGTCCATTTCCTCAAACAATCTCTGCTAGCCTGCCCTCCTCTCGGGGTCCGTCCATTTCCTCAAACAATCTCTGCTAGCCTGCCCTCCTCTCGGGGTCCGTCCATTTCCTCAAACAATCTCTGCTAGCCTGCCCTCCTCTCGGGGTCCGTCCATTTCCTCAAACAATCTCTGCTAGCCTGCCCTCCTCTCGGGGTCCGTCCATTTCCTCAAACAATCTCTGCTAGCCTGCCCTCCTCTCGGGGTCCGTCCATTTCCTCAAACAATCTCTGCTAGCCTGCCCTCCTCTCGGGGTCCGTCCATTTCCTCAAACAATCTCTGCTAGCCTGCCCTCCTCTCGGGGTCCGTCCATTTCCTCAAACAATCTCTGCTAGCCTGCCCTCCTCTCGGGGTCCGTCCATTTCCTCCACCAATCTCTGCTAGCCTGCCCTCCTCTCGGGGTCCGTCCATTTCCTCAAACAATCTCTGCTAGCCTGCCCTCCTCTCGGGGTCCGTCCATTTCCTCCTCCAATCTCTGCTAGCCTGCCCTCCTCTCGGGGTCCGTCCATTTCCTCCACCAATCTCTGCTAGCCTGCCCTCCTCTCGGGGTCCGTCCATTTCCTCAAACAATCTCTGCTAGCCTGCCCTCCTCTCGGGGTCCGTCCATTCCCTCAAACAATCTCTGCTAGCCTGCCCTCCTCTCGGGGTCCGTCCATTTCCTCCAACAATCTCTGCTAGCCTGCCCTCCTCTCGGGGTCCGTCCATTTCCTCAAACAATCTCTGCTAGCCTGCCCTCCTCTCGGGGTCCGTCCATTTCCTCCACCAATCTCTGCTAGCCTGCCCTCCTCTCGGGGTCCGTCCATTTCCTCATCCAATCTCTGCTAGCCTGCCCTCCTCTCGGGGTCCGTCCATTTCCTCCTCCAATCTCTGCTAGCCTGCCCTCCTCTCGGGGTCCGTCCATTTCCTCCACCAATCTCTGCTAGCCTGCCCTCCTCTCGGGGTCCGTCCATTTCCTCCTCCAATCTCTGCTAGCCTGCCCTCCTCTCGGGGTCCGTCCATTTCCTCAAACAATCTCTGCTAGCCTGCCCTCCTCTCGGGGTCCGTCCATTTCCTCCTCCAATCTCTGCTAGCCTGCCCTCCTCTCGGGGTCCGTCCATTTCCTCAAACAATCTCTGCTAGCCTGCCCTCCTCTCGGGGTCCGTCCATTTCCTCAAACAATCTCTGCTAGCCTGCCCTCCTCTCGGGGTCCGTCCATTTCCTCCTCCAATCTCTGCTAGCCTGCCCTCCTCTCGGGGTCCGTCCATTTCCTCAAACAATCTCTGCTAGCCTGCCCTCCTCTCGGGGTCCGTCCATTTCCTCAAACAATCTCTGCTAGCCTGCCCTCCTCTCGGGGTCCGTCCATTTCCTCAAACAATCTCTGCTAGCCTGCCCTCCTCTCGGGGTCCGTCCATTTCCTCAAACAATCTCTGCTAGCCTGCCCTCCTCTCGGGGTCCGTCCATTTCCTCAAACAATCTCTGCTAGCCTGCCCTCCTCTCGGGGTCCGTCCATTTCCTCAAACAATCTCTGCTAGCCTGCCCTCCTCTCGGGGGTCCGTCCATTTCCTCAAACAATCTCTGCTAGCCTGCCCTCCTCTCGGGGTCCGTCCATTTCCTCAAACAATCTCTGCTAGCCTGCCCTCCTCTCGGGGTCCGTCCATTTCCTCAAACAATCTCTGCTAGCCTGCCCTCCTCTCGGGGTCCGTCCATTTCCTCCTCCAATCTCTGCTAGCCTGCCCTCCTCTCGGGGTCCGTCCATTTCCTCAAACAATCTCTGCTAGCCTGCCCTCCTCTCGGGGTCCGTCCATTTCCTCCTCCAATCTCTGCTAGCCTGCCCTCCTCTCGGGGTCCGTCCATTTCCTCAAACAATCTCTGCTAGCCTGCCCTCCTCTCGGGGTCCGTCCATTTCCCTCCTCCAATCTCTGCTAGCCTGCCCTCCTCTCGGGGTCCGTCCATTTCCTCAAACAATCTCTGCTAGCCTGCCCTCCTCTCGGGGTCCGTCCATTTCCTCAAACAATCTCTGCTAGCCTGCCCTCCCTCTCCGGGGTCCGTCCATTTCCTCAAACAATCTCTGCTAGCCTGCCCTCCTCTCGGGGTCCGTCCATTTCCTCCTCCAATCTCTGCTAGCCTGCCCTCCTCTCGGGTCCGTCCATTTCCTCAAACAATCTCTGCTAGCCTGCCCTCCTCTCGGGGTCCGTCCATTTCCTCAAACAATCTCTGCTAGCCTGCCCTCCTCTCGGGGTCCGTCCATTTCCTCCTCCAATCTCTGCTAGCCTGCCCTCCTCTCGGGGTCCGTCCATTTCCTCCTCCAATCTCTGCTAGCCTGCCCTCCTCTCGGGGTCCGTCCATTTCCTCAAACAATCTCTGCTAGCCTGCCCTCCTCTCGGGGTCCGTCCATTTCCTCCTCCAATCTCTGCTAGCCTGCCCTCCTCTCGGGGTCCGCCCATTTCCTCAAACAATCTCTGCTAGCCTGCCCTCCTCTCGGGGTCCGTCCATTTCCTCCTCCAATCTCTGCTAGCCTGCCCTCCTCTCGGGGGTCCGTCCATTTCCTCAAACAATCTCTGCTAGCCTGCCCTCCTCTCGGGGTCCGTCCATTTCCTCCTCCAATCTCTGCTAGCCTGCCCTCCTCTCGGGGTCCGTCCATTTCCTCAAACAATCTCTGCTAGCCTGCCCTCCTCTCGGGGTCCGTCCATTCCCTCAAACAATCTCTGCTAGCCTGCCCTCCTCTCGGGGTCCGTCCATTTCCTCAAACAATCTCTGCTAGCCTGCCCTCCTCTCGGGGTCCGTCCATTTCCTCCTCCAATCTCTGCTAGCCTGCCCTCCTCTCGGGGTCCGTCCATTTCCTCAAACAATCTCTGCTAGCCTGCCCTCCTCTCGGGGTCGGTCCATTCCCTCAAACAATCTCTGCTAGCGGTCGCTTCCTTTCGCGGTCTCCAGGTTTTTTTGCAAAATTCTGTTTCGAATTTTTGCCGGGGCGAAGGCTAGATGATGGCAGTAATACTTTTTCGATTGGTGTGCTATATTTGCACAGGCGAAAAATGACCATGTCTAAAAAAGTAAGGGGCAGTCCTCTCGGGATCTGAATTTCCCAAAGAATCTCTGTTAGCCTGCCATCTCCCTAAATCGCTGCTAGATCCGATCATTTTTGATGTTATGTTTCAAAGTGCTACCATTGCCTATTATGGGGACACTATTTACTGGAATAAAGACCGATGCAGTTCAAATTTCAGATGCGATACCCGCAACCTGACAGCCGTGTACGGCGTCCGAGGCACCGTTCAGTCCCCAAATTTCCCGGATACCTACTCCAACAATGAGAATTGCATCCAGCACATTGTCGCCAACCAGAGCCAATTCGTCGACCTGGCCTTTGATGCGTGGAATGTTGAGCCGTAAGTTTTTGTGATGGGTATTTTTATCGTTTATTATTACGTAATAAAAAGTGATTAATAAAAATCTATCATTCAAAAATCTGTATCACCTTTTTTGCAGGAGATACGACTATTTGGTGCTGTACGATGGGTGGTACCCGGGAGAAGACGCGCTCGTCATCGCAAAGTATGTTTCAAATTTGTGCCATTCGAGAAAAGTTGATTTTCCATTAATTTTTTTTAAACCTTCATTCAATACTATTGCTTTAGTAGGCATTATAAACATAAATTAATTATTCACTAATTAATGCCAACTTTTTCGAATGTAGCTGGCGGAGGCGTTTCTAAATCGGGGTTTAAACGTAAAAATTCACAAATTTTTATCAAAAGAAAAGGCAAAAATATCCGTTTTCACCAAAATTTAAATTTTTTTAAAAGGATTTTACCGTTTTTAATGGTTTTCTAGATAAAAAATGCTATCTTTTGCTAAAAGGGCTATAAAAGCACTTCCTATTAAGCTCATAGACCGTTCTAGACTATGCAAAAAAGTCCCCCGATAATGCAAAAGAACCTAAAATTTTAGCCTTACCTACGACCCGACCAACATCACCGACAACAGCACGAAGCCGAATTTTCAGGTATAAATTTTGCGTTTTCTGGGCTGGAATGTATGTTTCAAGATTTTCTTGGGACTTTTGGGAAATCGCTTGATTAATAAGCGGTTGCAAGCTCTACTTAATCAAACCATATAAAAAATTGCCGATTTCGATCATTTTGGACGCTTTCTATTTTTTTAGCAGTGACGATTTAATAAAAATAATCTGATTTTTAGCTTTTATTGTCATGAATTGCCTTTTTTCTTGAATTTCTTCAATTTTCCAGACTACCAGCAACGTGATGACGCTGCAGTTCATCACCGACAACTCGGTGCAGCGCACCGGCTGGCACGCCAATTATACGCTTCGGTAAAATTTTTACCAAATCAAATTGCTATTCAATTATTTAAATTAAAGTAAACCAAAAACTCTCTAAAAAAATAAACTTTTCGTAATTGAAGCTTTTTTGGGCTAAAATTACGACGTTTAGGCCCTATCTTCCCGATATTGCGGCCAGCGGCTCGTCCGGGATGCTGCAAAGTCCAAACTACCCGAGTAACTATCCGTACGATGCCGAGCAGATGTACTATATTAAGACGATACCCGGCACCAAGGTATGTAATATACTTAAAGGGACCAGGACGGCCAATATTGATGAGCGTAAAAGGGGTGGAAAGCTGGCGGCAAGCTGCTCCGCTACCTCCTGTGTGGGTCCACTTTCGCCCACCTTTTTTTTGCACCGCGTGACCGGTTGGCCTTTTGCCAATTGTCACTGTAGGCTGAGCTACACGGGCCTTCCCTGTTCGTTTAAAAGGGACGGCAAAGACGGCGGACTTTCAGAATCTCTAAATTTCGGAATCTCTAAATTTCAGAATCTCTGAATTTCAGAATCTCTAAAATCAGAATCTCTAAAAATCAGAATCTCTAAATGTCAGAATCTCTAAATGTAGGAATCTCTAAATTTCGGAATCTCTAAATTTCGGAATCTCGAAATTTCGGAATCTCTAAATTTCTTTGTACAGGAGCCCATACAGAGTTTGGTGCAAATTGAAACTGTAATGTGCTTTTACCCAAAGACGCCCCTGAAAACTTTTTCTGGGGTAGTTTTTTGCGCTAATCATGTAAAACGTAGATGCATTTCCATAGCGCGATTTTTCCGTGTTTAGTTACAACTGTTGTCTTCAAAACTTGGTTTTGCTATAAGCAATTCATTTTGACTTTTTGTGATTCGTGGTTACGTTTTTCGTGATCAGGGCAAAAAACTACCCCAACAAAAGTTTTCACCGGCGACGTTGAGTAAAAGCGCCATACAGTATACAGTTTCAATTTGCGCCAAAAACTGTATGGCTCGGCGGCGACAAACAAAGAAATTAGAGATTCCGATGTTTAGAGATTCTGATTTTTAGAGATTCTGAAATTTACAGATTCTGAAATTTAGAGATTCTGAAATTTAGAGATTCTGATAGGGCGGCCTTTGCCGCATGCCCGGAAGGCAGGCGGAACGTTGGGGACATGCCCCGAAGTACAAATTCTGTGCTGCTAGCGAAAGTCGCGCAGCTGGCCCACTATTTAGGCATAAATACGCGTCGATTTATCCCATTGCCAGGAATTCCTTGGAGCCTGCGGTACGCCGCTTGTTCCAATGAACGGTGCGGACGGATCTGTTCTGTCGGCATCGGGGCCGTTGTGGGCAGGAAACTCTCCACTTTGGCGGACGAATCGTTCAAATCAGAATGGTTCGTGCAGGGGTGATCTGTTGAAACGATCGGTGACCCAGTCGGAATCCTGGCAACCCCGGGTAAACCCGAGAATTCCGAGCCGTTGGCGTCAAACTAATTGGCCGGCGAGCGAATAAATTTTTGGAAAGCGCCCTTCGGGGTGCAAAATGGAGTATCCGGAAAGGGAAAATACCTACAATTGAATCATTCTAAAAAGAGTTTTCCGGGCATGTTGATGAAACACGTATTCCGAAAAAAATTAATTACATAAACCGCAACGCGCACGCCCGCGCTAGATCATGAACATCCTGTGCAGAGAAATTGTTTTCCTAGAACTTCCGATAAAGGGAGTAATTTACATTTTCTGGCTCTCGTTGCCGTCTGGATTTTGTCGCAGCCATGACACGCGACGCGCCCAACACTCGGCCGATAATCGTAACCCAGTACGCGACAAGCGGCCCGGCGTACGCGTTGCGTGTTGCGTGCACATCTATCATACGTGTTACTACACAAATAATAGGGTTTTTCAGCCGCCCAACGTCTCGCAGTAATTGAGACCTTCAATTAAACCTTCCAAAATCATAACGATGAACAGCTCTTGACGACTTTTGCATTTTAGGGCTTTCGAACTAGCAAAAACCGCGCTGATCTGACATTCAAGGCATTTGTCTGTCGCGCCGGATGTAACAATTCCGCGCCCCGAATCAAAAGACGCGTACCTGGCCCACTAATTATGCATAGACCAGGGTTGAAAAGCCGCTTCGCGACTTTTCAACCCTGGCCCTGTGTGATCCCATGATATTCTTCACTTTGCATAATTCTCACGATTTTCGATCACAAAAATGAGAAACGTTACTACGCTTCCCTTATATAAGCTACCGCAACTTCCGGCGTATGCTAATTGTTTCCTAACAAAGAGGCTGGCCAATTTTTCAACAAAAACTTAATTTTAACGTCGAAAACATATAATTTTTCAAAATTTTATTAGCGTGCAGTCATCCCAAGGCCATTACGCACCTAATGACGTATCAAACATACCCTTAACTACTCTCCTTCTTGAGATACTGCTGGAACACGCTGACGGAAGTTGCATGCAAAGTGTCATACACACACACACACACACAAACACTATTTTTTTATATATAGTAGGATAAGCGCCGATGTCTGCCAAGGCTAGGAATTCTCTCGGGTCTTCGGCGTGCCGTCGATCCGGCTTAGGCTTAGGCTTAGGTTTGACCGTTGGCTGGCTCATTGTTGGCCGCCTCGGTTTCGGGGGCGGATCGTTCAGTCCGAATGATCCGCACCCAATAGGGGTCGATCGATCACTACGATCGGTAACCCCATTCTGGAATCCTGGTAATCCCGGGATCCCGAGAATTCCGAGCCGTCGGCCCGCAGGTGGCCGGCGTGCGACAAATTTTTGGCAAGCGCCCTTCGGGGTGCACTAATGGAGAATCCCGGAAATCGAGATGTAGATTGAATCAGTCCTAAATACAGCTTGCCGGGAGTTTTAACGAAACACGTATTCCGAAAACATTCATTAAGTGAGTTGCAACGCGCATGCCCGGGTAAGAGCTCAGCAGCATCCCACAAAGATTTGCTTTCTTACTGTGCCCAACAAGATACGCGCGCAGGGGAGGAAGTATCTATACATTTCATGAGGCGATTTGTATGCATTTCATGTACCAACAAACTGGAACTCTTCCCTTGCCGGTACCTTTAAAAAATCTCCGTTGTTTTTGGTTATGGATTTTTTTCCTTGCCGGCTGATTTTCAATTTTTCGAAATATCATCTTGTTGCAATCCAACAAAAAAAATTCGGAAAATCTAAAAAATTCGCAAATTTAAATTTCAGCGCATTGAAATTTCGACAAAAAGAAATATTGACGAATGAAATTTCGACAACATGATTTTGGACAAACTGATAGCAAATCACCTTAACCTGGCCCGGCCCTTGAAAGTGCTCCAAAGACGTAAAATTTATGTTGCAACTTCTTGAAAAAATGTCGCATGCAAGTAGCTCTGAGAAATTTTACTGTTGCGGACAATCTCCTTGCGACAGAAGTAGTACATACCTTTCCAGATCTACCTCTCGTTCCTCGATTTTTGGACGGAAACTTGCTGCGATTATTTGGCCGTGTACGATGGACCCGACCGGACGGCTCCGTTGCTTGGAAAGTGAGGGTTTTGCTTAGGCGCTGTCACACTCCCTTAAATTCTATTGCGTAATCGCTTAACCCGGAAAAAATTGATGGCGTAATCAATAATTTATATAAAGAAAATTATCTCGTATCTGATTTGTTGGCGTACTCGAACGCTGCGAAAAAATATGATCGCGTAATCGTTGATTCAATTGCGTAATCGGTTGTTATGATCGTAGAAATTGACAAAAAACACCAATTTCTTCACATAATCGCTCTTTCTCCGAGTTTGGATTTTGACAGCGTAATCGGTTACGCAACAGAATTTTCATTGCGTAACCGGTTTCCTAATAAAGATATTTAATAGCGTTTTTGTCAAATAAATCGGTGGATTCAAGGAGCCATTTTCCGTTAAATTATTTTTAATCTAGTCAAATTTAGTACCATAATCGTTAAAACATCAATTTGATAAGTGATTGAATAAATAAGCGATAACGATTAGAAAACAAATTTGATGGCGTATTCAATTTTTCCAGATAATCCGGGGATTCGGAGCGCTAATTCGCTTCATTGGTTATTTAGCCTAATAAAATTCAGCAGCGTAATCAATAAAACACCTGATTTACTTGCGTAATATTTTATCGCTAAGGCAGGGCTTTCGTAGCGTAATCGATTATAATTTAATCGGACACAAGAAAAAACAGGTTTCACAAAAATCGGCCGTATTGCGGCGACGAAGCTTGGTAATAAGGTATGGGCTTAGTAGTCTATGAAATCCGATATCTTTCGCCAAAACTACGGTCCTTCTTTTGCCCAAAACCATGTAAAAATTCGGGATTTTCAGGTTCTCCGGCTCGACGGTCCCCAGCCCTGTCACCTCATCGAACAACTCGATGACGCTGTTCTTCTACAGCGACTATCTGCTGTCCTACCGTGGTTTTCAGGCCAGCTGGACGATCATGTAAAATGAAATAAAAAATGCTGCGCTTGAAAGTGAATAAACCTTGGATCCAAACGATTTGCGCTAAAAATGCGAGCATTGGCCCTTGTTCTTCTCAAAGAGTCTTCGCTAGCCTGCCCAGCTGCCATTCAGATGTTTTGGATTCCCCAATGCTCTCTGCTAGCATACCCCATAACGACGGTAGAATTAAGGCCTCCCGGGGATCGTTTCCTTTGTCACGACTCGCCCTCCACCTGGCCCACTACTCTGGCATAGCTGCCGGGCCAATCTCTCTGGGCAGTTCTACGGAACAACACGAGCTTGAGGTTAGAAACTGACCCGAGCTTTCCTTTGAGGAAACTCGTAAATTTTGGACCGCGGCTCTTCGGAGCTGCACAATTGCCTCATAACAGCGCGTTGCTCACTTCCGTTAAATGATGCTATGTGGATTGAGTTAAACCAAAAACTCTGCACAACCGATTTATATTTTTGGTGCATTTGTTTGTGTACGTGTGCGGCAAACCGGTTCCGCCGATTTTGATGGCCTGCACTGAGCGGATACAGGCCATCGTTCTGGGTTGTTTCAGGTTCCGCTTTGAGCAAAATTCCGCCGTAATCGATTTCCAGCTCGGCCATACCTAGTTCACTGGGCTAAAAAATGGTCACTAGATGCTCATTGGTGAGTTTTACGTTCACCCCGTTTTCCAATTTTCACAAAAAATGTGTTTTCTGTATCCGCTCAGTGCAGGTCGACGGATTTTCGTTAGTCGGGTTATCTGTGAACATCTTTATTCATCTAAGTTCCAAATTTTTGTTTACTCACATTTTTAAACAACTGAGGCATTAAGAAATAATTCATTTTAGAGCTTACTACCATCACTATATGTTCTCGCTTGTTTATGGTTGGCAGTAGACTCGTCAGCGGTAAGTTTACGGGACTTTTAGAATTGCCGCTAATCGTTTTTGTGTTGAATTTTGCGATATGAATCCAGCTAATTTGTAGAAATTTTTTTGCTAAAAACTTTTATGTTTCAGCGAAATTTGTGGAATGATTACATTTTTTTGGCTTAATCCGGAACGGCATCGCGTCGCAGAAACAGGCAGTCTAGCGGCGAACTTTTAGGGATCCGGTTGAAAATAGGCTTTTCCAGCGCATCCGGCGCCAAGACTACTACGAAGTGGACGAGAGCCTCGAGAATCGTGGAGTACCCTCGGATCCCAAAAAGGTTGCCTCCATTTGATTTTTAAATTTGCCCGTTTTATTTAGAAAAATCATCAATTCTAGATCTTCGTCTCCCAACGTGCCAACCTCTACTACGAGGGCAAACAGAAGGAAGACATCTTTTTCTGATTTTTCCACAATCCGATTTTGTGTGTATAAATTGTAAGATTCGCCGAGAAGCCGGTCCAATAACTGAATACATAGCAATTCTGTATCCACATCTCCTTTTACTTTCCCTTTAGAACCTTAAGAACCTCCCGCTCAAAGATCAAAAGCCGGCCTCACTGAAACGTTCCTGGAAACCAGAGGCTCACAAAAAACGTGGAATTTTTCATGCTGGCCGCAGGGGGAAAAGCGCGGAATTTTTGATTTTCCCATTCTGTATTTTTCTGTTTTTGTGGATTCTTCAAAGGGAGAACTGGCATGACTTCCACAAATGATCTCCGCTAGCCTGCCCTCCTCTCGGGGTTCGAATTTCCTAAGGAATCTCGCGCCAATTGTTTGATTTTCGATAGAATCATAAAAGTAAGTTCTCCACCTAATCCATCCGGATTCCACCCCCGATATTTTCCGAGACTCGGAAATCCGGATTACCGTAATCCACCCCGGCCACCGGATGTCCACCCCCACAGGCTAAAAAATTCGTAATTTTCGAAAACATCGGACTTTTTCTCCTTTTTCCATTTCCGATTTTTAAAGGGACGGGCAAGGCATGGCTGTGGATTTTGTTGACCATGGATTTGCAAAGGATTCCACCGCCGCCATGACACGCAACGCGCTCATCAGCCGTGCAATTGCGTTATTGATTACGTGACTTTTACGGGGATCAAGGGCTCTCCGCGTTGCGTATCGCGGCGCGGTAAGATCTTAAAATTTCCAACCATTTCATCAAGGTATTATGCATGCACCACCGATAGGCTGTGAAGTTTGTTGTAACACATCTTTCCAGAACTAAAAACTGTGTAAATGGTA